GTCAGTCGCGCGCAATCAGCGCCTGGTTATAGATCTACAAACTAGGGACGGGGCTTCCACCATCGACTCACAGCTCTCAGCACCAGTGGAGTTCGTGTTGTGTGACCTATTCTTCGCGACAAGGCTGTTGGGTTTTGATTTTTTTTTGCCTTCACTTTAGCTTAATGCTGTACAATCTTCCAGCTTTTTCTTAAAATTCAGTGTTATTTTAGTACATGAAAGAGGGGTGCTTCTTCAAAAAGTTTTGCTTCTTTCACATAATTAGGTAGATTTCTGTAGGTTAGATATGATCTTTAATATTATAGTTATAAAGCTCTAACTTCTTCATTTTCAAAAAACACAAATAAGCATGAAAAAAATAAAGTTACCCATCTGTTAAATCATTTTCTTGCAGAATTAAATTAATATATATTTTTTCTGAATAAACTTACTTAGAAAATATCATTTTCTTTCCTATATTTCAAAATTGAGGTATTGCAAAAGATCATGTCAGTCAGAAAGCATGCCTTTTTCCTTAAAAACAAACAAAGAAAACTTCAGCCAACTTTTTGAAAACTGTCTAGAATACAAAAAGTAGTAGTGCGTAACAAAATTTCTCATACAGATGAAAAAGAAAACCACAAACATAGGGGAAAAAAAAAAACAACAAACAAACAAAACCACACCTGGGCTGGAAAAAAGCAATCATTACTAAAAAAAAGCCCAGAGGTAACATCAAAAGGGGAGGATTCTAATAAGCATTTTAATCCAGTAAAAAACTATTTTGTTTTTCCTTTTTGGAAACAAACTATAGCTTGAGAGGCAGTAATTGCAACTAAACACTGGAGGAAACGCAACAGAAACAAGAAATGCGACTTCAGACAACGCAAGGACATCACAGCACGGGAAGCAGCGACCTCAGTCTATTCTGCAGTGTCATATCCAGTCAGATTGTCCCCAGAATTCCAGAACATAGGAAGAAGATTAAAAAAGAAAAGATTTACATAGTCTCGCAATCATTGTGTGTGTTTATATATTACTATCTGCAGTCCAAGAGTGAATGCTAAAAAAATGTCCACGGTTGTAATAGCAGGTCTTAATTCTATTCAAGCTTTACAGGATAAATCCAGGGAACTAAGTAGTTAATTTCTCACCCAGACAACCACCTCTGCCCAGGCCACCTTCTTTTGTACAGACATTTCTTTAGCATCACCATTACACAACTTTCTTACAATGTTCCTAGTGTGTCAATCTGACAACTTATCACTATATACTGTATATATTCTTAGTGTTTGTAAGCTAAGATGAGCTCTTTGGTTTTTCTGGACAAGGTCTGAAGCTATGTAAAATGGTGCAAGCACTAGGAGACTGTAACTAAGAGCTCATGTGTTACTTACTAATATACCAGTTATGAACGGTCAAGTTCGTTAATGTCTGACACAGAGGCTTTGAACAGTTAAGTTTGATCACAGTTAGACATAATCACTTTACTATATAAAATAAATTGCACAATATATAACAGAGCACCGCAAAGTACTTCATCTACCATCCACAAATTTGCTTTACGAATACCCTACGCCTAGGTTGTATATTGGTTGTAGTATAGGTCATCGGTTATGGGCTCTTCCCATCCCGAAGCATTCCGTTTATCGAGGCATGCCTTCCTCCAGTCAATAACCAATTCTTCGAGTGAAAAAAATCTCTTTTAAAAAAATGAGTATTTTATAGCTTATATAGATTCTTAATTTGTGCATTGTGGGAAGGTTTTATACTAGACATTGGATATAAAATTTATTGCATGCAGCAACCTGATTAAGTAAACATGCAGTCAGAAGTAGTGACCTCCCGTTGACACCTCCTGAAGTCTGTTCTCATCTCTTCCGCAGCTTGATTCTATCCCTAAATCACAAGAGTGTGTTGTTGGGTTTTTGTTTTAATTGATACCTTAGCCTGAATAGAGTATTATGGTATTAATAATACCATTTTTATAGCAGCAAAAGCTATTGCAGCATAAATTTACATAACACTAAAAGATCTAACGAAAAATCCTCAGCAAAACAAAAAAATCAAACATTGAAGGAAAAACAGAGATCCAGCTTATGAGGTATCCTTACACGTCGAAATAGAGAGCAACTAAAGGTTTATCTTCATGAAGGGTTTTCCTTATTTCTAAATGACCTCAACTAATAACTGCTGAATTGTTGCGGAGTTTTTGCTACATCTGCCACCTACTCACGAATATTACCTTTGGTAAGTCTTGTCCTAGGGTCAACTCTCTAAGTTTCTGAAAATAAGTGCATGCTCCAGTTTAAAAACAATCAGAACAACAACACAACAACAAACAAAAGAATCACAGACATCAACCTGATGGCCGCTGACGAGAATGGCAGTCTACAGGCTGTCATGGGTGACAGATCAGGTGTCAGAAATCAAGGTACCAAGCAGACAACATTGTGAACCAAAGTGCAAATCAGTACCGTCATACACTCTGCAATTTTGCATTATACTGGACACTGGGTTCAGTAATATGACTGTAAATAATAATAATAATAATAAAAAGACCCATTTCTTCTTTAAAAATCAAGAACGGATGCACAGATTTCCAGCACACTGCAAGCCCTGAGGCAGCGCCCTCTCTTTTCCCTCCATGTTGGCTACTCCAGTACTTGTGGCTGGGTCGGCCCTGGCTCAGCTCCAGCGGAATGGGACATGGCGAGGGCGGTCGCCTCCCTCCTTCACCAGCGGTTTGTGGAACTCCCGCCCGGCACGGGAGTGGATGCTCGCCCAGCAGTACTCGCAGTAATACTGCAGACAGGTGACATTGGCACAGAAGAACGGGGCAAACTTCCCCCCACAGCGCGTGCCCTGGCACTCGTCACACATCTGATCATCCAGCACGTATGGCTTCACTTCCACCTGGGCCCAAAGAGAAAAGACAGAGAACAAAGGTTTAGCAAGGCTTCCCGCACATCTCCCGCTCTGCTGAGTCCGCGGCGTCAGCTCTGGGGCGCCTGTGGGGAGACCTCCCTCAGGCGGCCAGCTGGTGGACTGGGCTCTGCAGTTGGCTGTGTGCTCCCCAGGCTGTGGGATCTCGGGCACACGCTCACCCCCGCTCTCTGTCTCTGTGTCCAATGTGCCTCACCCTGCATGCACACACCTACAGGTTCGTAACATCGCCTGCAGCAATGGGGCTGGCGGGATGAAGACAGAGCGTGGGACAAGCTCAGGAGAGCACCGGGGCCGAGTCCCGAAGGCTGGCAGCAGGTTTCAGGGAAAGGAGCCAGAAGCACAAAGGCCGCTGAGCCGGAAACGGCAGGACGCATACTTGGGCAATGCTCGCCAGGCTTCCAAAAAGTGCATACACTGTCCACCGTGCCCGGAGCAGGAGAGGGGATGGGAAGATTCAGCCCCGGTAACTGGGGCCTTTTGGTTTCCCGGACGATCTCCATTGCCTTCACTGGCCCCCAAGAGAATTTCTCATCATAGCCCCATCTGGAGCATTTGAAAATGGACATGAAGCCAAGTTGTAAGGAACAAACTCCCACAATTTCCCCTGTCCTTTTCTCAGCACTCCAGAAAAAGAGCATCACCGACCTTAAACATATTTTCATCTCGCGTGTCAGATTCGGGCATGAAGATGAGCCCTGCGGTCAAGGCCCTCCCTGCGCGCAAGGCCAGGGCCCCAGTGGGGAAGAGCAGCGCTGGGGCTGGGGAGACAAGGATGCCCCGCCTCCGGGGAGGAGCTAACTGCCTGACCACTTGGGGATGTCCTGGCAGGGCACCGGCCATGGATCCCGGGAGGGTGCAGGTGTGGGAGTGACAGGGTCCTGGCCTTTCCCCGCTTCTCCGTCTCTCTGCCCCTCCATAGAGTTTCACCTCTGGCCATGCCACCTCCGTCTGCCAGCCAGATAGGTCTGCTTGGAAGACCGCCACCACCCTCAGGCTGCTCCCAGCTCTTGCTCACGGAGGGGGGGAGGAGGAGGATGTCTTTATCCAACTTTACGACCCCTTCCTCCTAATGCCCCTCTTCAGCCTGACAGGTCAGTGAGTGGGCTGCCAAAGCGGCTCTTACACTCACCTCCCATCACAATCGAATCTCTTGTGGCTCTGGAGCCAGTCTGGCCGGATTCCAGTCTAGGCCATTAGTGACTGTGCAAACTGAGGGAAGTTCCTCAGCCTCTCTGAGCCTCTGGCCCCTTACTGCTCACTGGGGCAAAGAGGAGCTCCTGTTTTATGGGTCCCTTTGACAAGTACATGAGCTAAGTTACAGAAAGCAGTGTCTGGCACCTAAGAAGCTCTCAGCATGGATATTATTCCTTCTGCTTCCTCTTCAGTCCGTGTCTCACAACTTGTGCCTGGACACGTTCAGTACCTACGGCCTTTCCACTGGCCACCAAGCCTTCCCTGGTTCAACTCTCCTACATACGCGTTGACATTTCAACAATCATGTCTACGCTGTTCCTCTCCTGGTCAAACGCCACCCAGAGTCCCCACTGCCTCCAGGGCTGTGTTCCACTGCCATAGTAACACGGGGTATTTCTTCTTTGCTTTAACTCAAATACAAGTCAGAGTCTCAGTGATCTGCCCAATTTCTCCCAACAACTCCCCAAGTCCGACTCAATTTGGTCTATTTTCACTCGCACTCTCCTCCCATCTACATGCCTTCCTTAGCCTCTCGTTCAGCTCAAACGTTTCATGCAGCCAATGAGGTCCAGTTGCTTTCTTTTTCTTTCCTCACATAAAATTAACAATTTAATAGTGAACAGTTCAGTGGTATTTAATACATTCACAGTGTGTGCAACAATCGTCTCTCTTGAGTTCTGAACCACTTTCATCACCTGAAAAGGAAGCAATTAGCGCCCCCAGCCCCTGGCGATGTCCAGTTCCCTTTCCATCCCTATGGGTTGACCTGCTCTGGACATTTCCCGTCAGTGGAATCACAGGAGATCTCTGATGTCTGGCTTTTCCCCACATCACTTACTTCGAGGCTCCCTCACACTGTTGCATGCAGTAGTACTGCATTCCTTTCCACTATTTTTTTTTTTTTTTTTTTTTTTTTTTTGTATGTGTGCGTACCTCCCATATTTTGTTTATCTATTCATCCACTGATGGATGTTTTGGCTTCCACCTTTTGGCTTTTGTGAAAGGTGCTTCTGTAAACACATATGTATGGATGTTTATTTGAGTTCCTATTTTCAATTATTTTGGAATGGAATTGCATGGCCTTATCAAAGTGTCTTCCATGCCAGCTGTACCACTGTATACTGTCATCAGCAAAGTACTAGTGCACTGTCTTCCATTTTTATAATCACAGTCATCCTGGGAGGAGTGAAGAGGTACCTCACTGTGGGTTTTGACTTGCATTTGTCTATTGACTAATGATGGTGAGCATCTCTTCATGTGCTTGTTGGCCATTTGTGTATCTTCTACAGAGAAAGATTATTCAAATTCCTTGCTTGTTTTTTAAGTTAGGTTGTCTTCTTATTGTTGAGTTGTATGTGTTATTTATATATTCTGGATAGCAGACCTTCCTCAGATACATGATTTGCAAACATTTTGTATTTTGTAGACTGCATTTTTACTATCTTGATAATATCCTCTGGCCCACAGAAGTTTTACATTCTACAGAGTCCAATTTATCTATTCTTTTCTTCTCTTGCTCCACTGTTTGATGTCCAATCTAATAATCAACTGCCAAATTCAAGGTCAGGAAGATTAAAATATTTATTTATTTAGAAAGACAGACTGATACAGACACACAGACAGAGAGATCTTTGTCCACAGGTTCACTCCTCAAATGCCTGAAACAGCTAGGGCTGGGTCAGGCCAAAGCCAGAAGCCTGGAACTCAATCTTGGTCTCCCACGTAAATGACAAGTATCCAGATATTTGGGTCAACACCTGCTGTCTCCAAGAGTGCACATTAGTTGGAAGCAGGAATCAGGAGCAGAGCTGGGACTTGAACCCAGGCACTTGGAAATGAGACATGGGAGTCACAGACATTATCTTAACCACTATGCCCAGTGCCTACTCCAGATGTTACACCTAGATTTTCTTCTAAGAGTATTATGGTTTTAACTCCTATATTTAGAGTGTTGACCTATTTTGAGCTAATTTTTGGATATAGTGTGAGACTGGGGCCCCACGTCATTGTTTTGCAGTTGAATATCCAGCTGTCCTGGTCCCACCTGCTGAAGACGGTTCTTCAGGCACTGGCTAATCTTGGCAATGCTGCTGAAATTCAATTAGGAGCCCAGGTTTCCCTAGCTATTTCAGTCTCACAGGGATCTGTTCCAGCCTCACTGGAACCTAGTACTCCATGCTCATCTGACATGTCTTATCTGCGGTCCTGCCTTGGTCAGCATTTCTCCTTACCTGCGAGCAACCTGAGGAGAGAGTGTTTGAGCGAGACAGGACAGTGGCAGGTCTGGGAAAGAATGCCATCTGTATAGACTGGCAGACTGCAGAGGAAGGGAGCTGGCGGCTAGGGCCGGTGTGCCTGGTCTGGCCTCTTCTCCCTGTATCTCAATGAGAAAGGGAGCACAGGGCACCACTAGCAAAAGTGGGGCACACAGGGAGCTATCCACAGCCTGCACTGACACCTCCAGTCCAGGAGCTGAAGACAACTCTGTCTCTAGCACCAGGCAGATGCTCCTGTAACCTTGGCTGGGCCCCAAGAGGCCTAGAAAAGGGGATGCAGCCGCCAGAGAGCGGCCTGTTTTGAACACACAGAATTCACACCCAGCAAAGGAAAGGTGCTGGAAATGACAGGCAATAGCTATTAATAGCATATACAAGTATGAAGAGTACTTAAGGGGATTTAAGTCCAGCACAATTGCCTTTTCGGTAATATTAAACTAGTGAACAAAAAGGTGACTTTTGTTTGGGTCTTAAAATAAGATTGTGGATATGTGGAGATTTTTTTTTCCCTCCAGGTAGTTTTTTTTTTTTTGAAAGCTTAAGTCATTTTTTAAAAAGATTTATTTGTTTGAAAGACAGAGCTAGGGGCCAGAACTGTGGCGTAGTGAGTAAAGCTGCTGCCTACAGTACCAGCATCCCACATGGGCGCCGGTTCAAGACCTGGCTGCTCCACTTCTGATCTAGCGCTCTGCTATGGCCTGGGAAAGCAGTAGAAGATGGCCCAAGTGCTTGGGCCCCTGCACCCACATGGGAGACCTGGAAGAAGCTCCTGGCTCTTGGCTTCAGATCGGCACAGCTCCGGCCATTGCAGCCAACTGGGGAGTGAACCAGAAGATGGAAGACCTTCCTCCCTCCCTCCTTTCCTCCCTCCCTCTCTCTCTCTCTTTATCTATCTCTCTCTGCGAAACTCTGACCTTCAAATAAATAAATAAATCTTAAAAAAAAAAGAAAAAGAAAAAGAAAAAAGAGACACGGAGTGAGAGAGAAGGAAGAGAAGGAGAGAGAGAGAGAGAATCAATCTTCCATCTACTGGTTCACTCCCCAAATGGCCACAACAGCTGGGGCTGGGCCAATCCAGAGGCAGGAATCTGGAGCTGCCAGGACCCAACTGGCACCGACATGAGATGCCGGCACCACAGGTAGTTGCATTACCTGCTATACCACAACATCAGGCCATAAATTATTTTTTTTAAACTGAGGTTAAAGTCATATAAAATTTAACCATTTTAAAGCGAACAGTTCAAAGGCATTTAATGAAGTCATATAATGTTGTATAATCAGCATTTTTATCTACTTCTGTTTTCATTACTCCCAAAAGAAGCCCTACACCCTCAGTTTTGATTTGTAAAGAACTCCTTTTTAGAGACACACACACACAGAATAGCTGACTTCTGGGATGTACTTTCAAATAGTCTGAGTGAGGGTGGGAAAGTGGACAGAGGAATAGATGGAAAAAGATTGGTTATGAGTTGATAAATTTTGAAACCGAATGATAAGAACATTGTATGTCCATATCTGTAACTGGATTATAGAGTTCACTACCCGCTGCAATTTTGTATATCTTCAAACTTTTTGTCATGAAAAAGTTAAAAAATCATAAACCACAACTTTTGCAGAGTAAGTTATCAGAGAAACTGAAGGGAGGATGCTGACTGTTCAGATCTGGTTCACAGTCCTAGAAGACTGAGTGGTAGAAATATTGCACACTGGGAGTTGTTTTAAGTTCAAGTGAACGGGCTAGCGCTAGGACTTAGCAGGTAAAGCTGCTGCCTGTGGCGCCATTGTCCCACATGGGTGCCCGATTGAGTTCCAGCTGATCCACTGCCAATCCAGCTCCCTGCTAAAGGCCTGGGAAAAGCAGGAGAAGATGGGCCAAGTCGTTGGGTCCCTGCACCCACATGGGAGACCCAGAAGAAGCTCCAGGATTTTGGCTTCAGATTAGCCCAGCTCTGGCCCTTGCGGCCATTTGGGGAGTGAACCAGTGGATGGAAGATCTCTCTCTGCTCTCCCTGTATCTCTCTCTCCTCTCTCTCTCTTTTATGATTTATGTATTTATTCGAAAGTCAGAGTTACACAGAGACAGAAGGAGAGGCAGAGAGAGAGAGAGAGAGCTCCAGCCGTTGCAGCCATCTGGGGAGTGAACCAGCGAATAGACGATCTCTCTGTCTCTACCTCTCTCTGTAACTCTGTCTTTCAAGTAAATAATAAAATAAATCTTAAAAAAAAAGAAAGCTATAAAAATTTATCAAACTAATCTCAAAGTTTATTTTGTCTCTAACAAGCCACAGAAGATATTTCTGTCTGTAATTATTTTGCTTTTAGTCAACAAACTAACATCCCAAAGTAAATACAGCATTGACTAAATGATTCTTGGTGGCAGAGAGGCTTTACAAAGGCAACCATGACCACGCACAGGCACTCTACTGCTGCTCCTTGGACCTGAAAGGTTGTAGTAATAAGAAGAGAGGCATTGGCCCAAGGTCAGGCTCAGTCTGAATCATAGGCCAAAAGACACAAAGACTGACCCCTGACACAGAGTCTCCTTTGGTGACACCATAACAAAATAAATCTATCAAATACCCAGCTACTGAAGGCAAGCAAGGCTTGGTTAACCTGAGTAGAAGGAGGGATTTCAGACCTGATAAGCTGGATCAAGAGGCCAAATGAAGAGGTGTAACTTACTAGGGGTAAATCTAAGGCTTGTACCTAGTCAAAAACTGACAAGACAAACAGGTGTGTAAGCCCAAGGGTAAGAAAGATGTAATGAAAGAGTAGGACCTGCAAGCGAGACTGTAATTCAAAGGATCAGGAAAGAAGGAGTCTGACTAAAGCACAGACCTGACCTAAGGGTTTGTTGCAGTTCATAAGAAGGGAAACAGTGAGCTGGCTGTCATGGGGGCTATCTCAATGGAAAATACCAGCTCTGAATTTGGGTTCTACTCATGGCTTCAAAAAAAGGACTCTCAGGGCCGGTGCTGGGGTGCAGTAGGTCAATCCTCCGCCTGAAGCGCCAGCATCCCATATGGGCGCCAGTTCTAGTCCTGCTGCTCCTCTTCTGATCCAGCTCTCTGCTGTAGCCTGGGAAAGCAATAGAAGATGGCCCAAGTGCTTGGGCCCCTGAGCCCACACGGGAGACCTGGGAAAAGCACCTGATTCCTGGCTTTGGATCAGTCCAGCCTTGGCCATTGCCATCATTTTGGGAGTGAACCAGTAGATGGAAGACCTTTCTCTCTGTCTCTCCCTCTCACTGCCTGTAACTGCCTGTCAATTAAATAAAATCTTAAAAAAGAAAGAAAGAAAGAAAGAAAGAAAGAAAGAAAGAAAGAAAGAAAGAAAGAAAGAAAGAAAGAAAGAAAGGAAGGAAGGAAGGAAGGAAGAAAGGAAGAAAGGAAGAAAGGAAGAAAGGAAGAAGGAAAGAAGGAAAGAAGGAAAGAAGGAAGGAAGGAAGGAAGGAAGGAAGGAAGGAAAGAAAGGAAAGAAAGGAAAGAAAGGAAAGAAAGGAAAGAAAGGAAAGAAAGGAAAGAAAGGAAAGAAAGGAAAGAAAGGAAAGAAAGAAAGAAAGAAAGAAAGAAAGAAAGAAAGAAAGAAAGAAAGAAAGAGACTCTCATAATCACAATGAGGGGTGAACTCCTGGATGTCAGAGCCTGACTGCCCTGTTTATGCTACCCACCTACCTATAAACGACAGGAAGGGCTCTGCAAATGCCAAACTTAATCACCAGAGACACAGTGTTTACAGCCAGTCCTGCTCTGGGTGCTCTGACGTTCCCTTCTGAACACCATACTTTAGAAGGACAGGACATTGTCAGAGGGACTGCTTCACTGGAAGATCCTACATGATGCTAGCGGAAAGGAGGCCAAAATTCTCTACAGAGACATCTATAATATGGTTACAGAGATCCTGCAGCACTCCCAGAATTATACGCAGAGACTGCAGCTAGAGGCTGTCCAATGGTCACTGTTCAGTGTCAGCTCAATGTACTATGTGTTTGTTTCAGAAACATTCTAATGGCTCTCAGCAATGAATTATGTATACTGGTTGAAGAGGTACAAAGAATGTGGCTTCTTTGAAATTTTTTACTTATTAGGCTACTTGAAGAGATCAGACCACAAATCATGGCCATCAATGATACAGACCTATAAGAAATCAGCTGGGGCAGGTGCTGTGGCATAGGGGTAAAGCCTCGGCCTGCAGTGCTGGCAGCCCATACGGGCACCAGTTCTAGTCCCAGCTGTTCCACTTCCGATCCAGCTCTCTGCTATGGCCTGGGAAAGCAGTAGAAGATGGCCCAAGTCCTTGGGCCCCTGTACCCGTGTGGGAGACCCGGAAGAAGCTCCTGGCTTCTGGCTTTGGATCGGCACAGCTCTGACCATTGCAGTCATCTGAGGAGTGAACCAACAGATGGAAGCTTCTCTCTCTCTCTCTCTCTCTCTGTCTCTCTAACTCTGCCTTTCAAATAAATAAATATATCTTTAAAAAAATCAGCTAATGACAACATAAACAAATTACATAAACAAGTTGCTGAAATGAAATCTTTAAAGGCAACACAAGAGGGCTAAATCTAGAAACAAGCTAACTGGGGTTCAAATGCCATGAAGATAATGTCACCTGTATTAGGAAATTAACGCATTAGTTAAGAGGATTGCAAATATATGGGTCAAACAAAACGAGACCACTTCTAAAATGAAAGGTTCGAATATTCTTCCTGGTGTCGGTGTTGTAGTGTAGCAGAAAAAGGTGCCATCTGCCATGCTGGTGTCTCATGTGGGCATCGGTTTGTATCCTGGCTGTTCCACTTCTTCTTCACCTTCATCTTTTTTAAAAAAATTTATTTATGTATTTGAAAGCCAGAGTTACAGAGATAGGGAGAGGCAGAAAGAGAGAGCGAGCGAGCGAGCGAGCAAGCTAGAGCTTCCATCTGCTGATTCACTCCCCAAATGGCCACAATGACTGGGGCTGAGCCAGGCTGAAGCCAGGAGCCAGATTTTTCCAGGTCTCTCAAGTGGCTGCATGGGCCCAAAGACTTGCAGGCACAGGGGATAAGCCTTTCCCAGGTGCATTAGTAAGGAGCTGGATCGGAAGCAGATTAGCTGGGTCTCGAACCAGCACCCATTCGGGATGCTGGTGTCACAGGCGGCAGTTTTTACCTGCCACGCCACAGTGCTGGCCCTGCTGCTCTACTTCTGATGCAGCTGCTTACTAACTGCCTGGGAAAAAGCAGTGGAAGACAGCCCAAGTGTTTTCCTTGCCCTGCCATAAGGGAAACCCAGATGAAGCTTCTGGCTCCTGGCTTCAGCCTGGCCCAGCTCTTTCTGATACAGCAATCTGGGGAGTAAACCAGTAGATGGAAGATCTGTCTCCACTCTCCCCCCGCCGTAACTGTCTTTCAAATAAATAAATCAACCTATTTTAAAAATTACAGTTCAATGACAATGGCTTTCATTAAACAGCACATCTGGGCCCCTTAGTACTCTAACAAGAGCCCTTTAAGAATCAGTTTAAGTCAGTTTGAACTCAGAACTGGATGCTGCCTGTCCTTTAAAAAGCTAAGCCAAAGCCACAAACCACAAATCTTCAAAGTGAAATTAGAGAGAGATCAATAATAATGCATTCAAATTTTTAAAAACACTATGCAATGACTAGGAAAAGAGTAGCATTGAAAACTTGAAACTATTTAAAGGAAAAGTGTTTAAAGTTAAGGGTTGGACTTAAGTGCCCCCACTCCCAGATTGGGCTTTAGGCAACCCCAGCATTCACTAAAGGCCCTAGTCACTGAATCAGCCATTTCCTATCACCTGGAACAACGTGGGTCATTGGAAGCCCATTTAACTTGGTGTGCTCAAAGTTTCTAAACATAAGTGATTTCAAAACTTAAGAAATAAAGACTCCCCTACAGGAGTCACTCTCAATCTGTTAGTTTAGATAGCTGGTCACCCTCAACCTTTTCTGCTCAGGATTACAAAATTATCCTTCTAGCCTTCAAATTAATCATACTTTGTACTTCTCAATGTCTATAGCAGACTTCAACTAAGATCACGTTGCTATCAGTCAACATTACAATCACTTTATGGTTCCAATCAGTTGTTCCACTAGATTCAGGGAAAGGTAACAGAAGAGAGGAGGCTAGGTCATGTTATCTAGAAAATTACAGATCACTTGTGACACAACCTATGATAATTGGTGAGGAAACACAAAGCTTAAATCCCCTACTATTCCAGACATGCCCAAGATCAAGATAATGAATGCTGACACTGACTTGTGGTCATGGTATGTGGCTTTAAGTACATATATGACCATGAGGGGGAATTTGTGAACTTAGGAGTGGAATGGTGACTGCAAAGGCTTGTCATTTTCTTGGCATGTGTCAAAAATACATCTGACCAGGCCTAAAAAGAGAGTTACCTCATTAACAACCCTCTAAACATGGTGTTTCTCCTGTTGCTAAAACAGTCTTTTATCCACAGATAAGACTAAGGATATCTAAACATAAATTTTTAGTTTTTCAAGTAGACTATGAGCTAGAATCCTCCTAAGAGAACAACAGATGTTTAGGAAATTAAAGCAGTAACGTGAGGGGCCAGTGATGTGGTGCAGTGGGTAACGCACCACCTGCAAAGCTGCTTCAAGTCCTGGCTGCTCCACTTCCCATCCAGCTCCCTGCTAGTGTCCTGGGAAAAGTAGCAGAAGAAGGTCCAAGTATGTGGGCTCCTGCTACCCACGTGAGAGACCCAGATGAAGCTCCTGACTCCTGGCTTCAGACTGGCCCAGTGCTGGCTACTATGACCATCCGGGAAGTGAACCAGTGGATAGCAGATCTCTCTCTTTTCCTCACCTTTCCTTTCTATAAATATTTCAAAACAAATTATTCTTTTTTTTTTTTTTTTTTTTTTTTTTTTTGACAGGCAGAGTGGACAGTGAGAGAGAGAGACAGAGAGAAAAATCTTCCTTTTGCCATTGGTTCACCCTCCAATTGCTGCCACGGCCGGTGCACTGCGCTGATCCGCAGGCAGGAGCCAGGTGCTTCTCCTGGTCTCCCATGGGGTGCAGGGCCCAAGCACTTGGGCCATCCTCCACTGCACTCCCGGGCCACAGCAGAGAGCTGGTCTAGAAGAGGGGTAACCAGGACAGAATCTGGCGCCCTGACCAGGACTAGAACTCGATGTGCCGGCGCCGGAAGGCAGAGGATTAGCCTAGTGAGCCGTGGCGCCGGCCAACAAATAAGTTTTTTTAAAAAAATGTAGCAGGAGTGGTGCAGTGTAGTAGTAGACTAAGCCTCCGCCTGCAGCACTGGCATCCCATAAGGATACTGATCCAAGTCCTGACTGCTCCTCTTCTAATCCAGTTCTCTGCTTATGGCCTCGGAAAGCAGTGGAAGATGGTCCAAGTCCTTGGGCCCTTGCACCCACGTGGGAGACCCGGAAGACGCTCCTGGCTCCTGGTTTTGGATTGGCCCAGCTCCAGCCATTACAGCCATTTGGGGAGTGAACAAGCAGATGGAGGACCTTTCTCTCTCTCCCTATCTTTCTCTCCGTAACTGTACTTTTTTTTTTTTTTAAAGATGTATTTATTTTTATTTGAAAGTCAGAGTTACACAGAAAGAGGAGAGGCAGAGAGAGAGGTCTTCCATCCGCTGGTTCACTCCCCAGTTGGCCGCAACGGCCAGAGCTGCACCTATCTGAAGCCAAGAGCCAGGAGCCTTTTCTGGGTCTCCCAATGACTTGGGCCATCTTCTACTGCTTTCCCAGGCCATAGCAGAGAGCTGGATCGGAAGAGGAGCAGCTGGGACTAGAACCAGCGCCCATATGGGATGCCAGTGCTTCAGGCCAGGGCGTTAACCTGCTGCACCATAGGGCTGGCCCCTGTAACTGTACTTTTCAAACAAATAAATAAAGTCTTTAAAAAAATAAATTAAATAAAAAAGATAGTTAAAAAAATCTGTGAGAATCTGACGCTGGTGCTGAGCTATAGCTGGTAAAGCACCTCCTGTGATGCCAGTCCATGTCCCAGTTGCTCTGCTTCTGATCCAGTTCTCTGCTAATGGCTCGGAAAAAGCAGCAGCAGATGGTCCAACTGCTTGGGCCCCTGTCACCCATGTGGGAGACCTGGAAGAAACTCCTGGTTTCTGGCTTTGGCTTGGTCCAGTGCTGGCTGCTGCAGCCACCTGGGGAGTGAACCAGCAGATGGAAAATCTCTCCCTTTCTCTCTGTAACTTGTACTTCCAAATCAATCAATCAAACCTTTTTAAAAAATCTGCAAAATATATAACTGACATTGCATCACAGCCTCAGGTATACAGACACACAGCACACTGGCTATGTGACAACCTCAGTGGCCTCAGCTTCTCTTACTCTGAGGGATTGGATTAATTTTTTCCATGTTAAGAATAAACACTCCCCAAGAGATACTAACCAGATGATTCCACCTACCCTCCTGGGTTACAGAACCTGAATGTTCTACTGAGATAACTAATTAGCAAATTGGTGACAAGGAGATATTATCTACTTAAACAACCTCTACACTCAAATATGAACAGGGAAGAAGAACATTTTAATTCCTCTAAAGAGTTTTCATGTCAAAAATAATCACAGTTCCAGGGAAGGAGACATGAAAAGACAGAACAGCACAGGAGAGCTCAGGAGTCAAGGACAGGAAAGGAAGCATGGACTAAAGGTTCCAGTCCATTCAAAGAGGACTTTCTTCTTTAGATGACCAGGACCCAAACTCCCTTTAAAAAACTATTTCCAGTCAAAGGCTCTGGATTCTCAGTGCTTCAAAATAAGTCCAGGTAGGATTAGTTCAGATGACATTTGAATCCAATGCTGGGTGTAAATTCTTTTCAAAAGGTCAAGTCAAACACAGCTATAGCTACAGTTGGAAGCTTTGAAGCCAGATCAGGCAGGAGCCTGTAACAGCAGCGAGATAACAGATGGGTTGTAGGAGTCCCAGGCTAAGGCTATGGGCAGAAATAGGCTCAGAACAGCTCATCAGAGCCCTCACTTCTTTTGCTACTGAGTCCTTTTATATATGTGGCCAGGGACAAAGCATAGTGTTATCAGCACTTTTGTTAATATGGTTATTCGGTCATAATAATCTTCATGCAGGCTAAAAAGATAAAAACTCTGGTAGTCTTCAGCAAATTCAGGCTCAATATGTTTTCATTAAAGAGAGAAAGACAGTGAAAAAAGATCAAATTTGTGAAGTACTTTAAAGTGCTACCAAAAGCACTTTAAGTGTAATGGATAACATTTCATTAGAGAAAAAATGAGTTATTCTAAAGAGCATGCTACTGGAAGCAAATAATGTGCCATGACTTGGGTATCACAACATTCTTTAAATAACAAAAATTATTTCAAAGTCCCAAATCGGCTAACTAAAAGTCAGTCTCCTTAGTCTTCAACAGTAACCTAAAATACAGTCAAGGGGGTATTATTTGCCTATGATATACTGATTTCAAACTATTTTTCTTAGGGTGGTTGTTTAGCTAACCAGTTAAACCTCTGGGTTGGAATGCCTGTGTTCTACATCCAAGAGCTTAGGTTTGATGCCCGGCTCTGGTCCCTGACTGCAGTTTCCTAAGTGGACCCTGGGAGGCAGCAGGTGATGGCTCAAGTGGTTGACTTCCTGACACCCATGTGGAAGACTAGGGTTGAGTCCCTGGTACTGGGCTTTGGCCCTCTGGTCACTGCAGGCATTTGGTGAGTGAATCAGCAGATGAGAGCCCTTTATCTCTGCCTCAGTCTGCCTCTCAGAAAACAAAACAAAAAATGTCCTTCTTATATAGAAAGTTTTTTTTTTTTAATGATTTATTTATTTGAAAGGCAAAGTTATAGAAAGAGAGGCAGAGATCGAGAGAGAAATAGATCTTCCATCTGCTTGTTTACTACCCAAATGGCCACAATTACCTGGGCAAGGCCAGGCTGAAGCCAGAAAGCAGGAGCTAGGAACACCATCATGGCCTCCCATGTGGGTAGCAAGTGTCCAAGCACTTGGGCCATCTTCCGTTGCTTTCTCAGGCATGTTAGCAGGGAGAGATGGATCAGAAATGAAGTAGCCAAGACTCAAACTGGCACTCACTTGGGATACTGTGCCACAACAACGGCCCCTAGAAACATTTTGATGTCATTTTAGAAAGATGCAACAGATAATCTCCAGAAAAGATAAAGAACTACAAATACTAAAGAGACTATCAATCACACCTTCAATGTCCTTAGTCAAAACCCTTCCTGGGTAGAAAAGATATAGTAAGTGGAACATACTTGGAAAAAAGGAACTGAGAGAGGGAAAAATAATCAACTGCTCATTAAGATTCTGAATTTGAGCATGAAAAAAGGAAAGAAACTGAAAATAGTACTTTCCTCACTGGGTTACATAGCATATTTTTCCCAAGATAGAGCACACTATGAAAGAAAATTTTTTAAAAAATTGTATATTGTATCCTTGGATCTTCACAATTAAGCTTAGCATATTAGTATAGAAATACTATTACATAAATATTCTAATATGTTCTAGGATAAACCAGCCTGTCTTTCTTTAAGTAATCATTTCCAAACTCACTTTATTTGAAAAAAAATTTTAAATAAATAGATACTAGAATCCCAACAGACTCATGTCTTACGGAGTATACATCCTCAAATGGCCTGGGCCAGTCTTAAGCCAGAAGCAGGAACTCTACCCGGGTCTCCCAGGTGGGTGGCAGGGGCCCAGGTAATTGGGCTACTACCTTCTACCTCCCAGGGAAAAGCATTTTAATTCACATGCCACACACACACACACAAACACACACACACACATATAGACTCCTCCTTCGAGTAATATGATAAAAGGTACAGTTAAGACTAAACCCCTAGATTGGCTCATTCTAGTCTAGTATCCTTTTTCTCCTAGTAAAAAGGTCCCTACAACTTATGTTTACTGAATGATGCAGTTAAAGTTATAAATATTTGATTTACAAATTTCTTGGTGACAACATGATTAAGTTGTGCTAATCATACTGGTCAGAGGGAGGCTATGATGTTTACAAACTAATTATTAACATCAATAAATAATATGCTTTTGCTAGACTAAGGGCAATTTAACTGATTCTACCTTTTACAAATTTTCCCAAGACCACAGAGAGCAAAGAGGTAGAAAAATAACCCTGTAACAAGATTATGCATTTTCAATGATCTCATTTTTCACACTATAAAAATTTTCTATACATAAGTGAGCTAGACCTGCGTTATAAGGAAAACTGGATTTAGGAGAACTTTCACAACTTAAGTGTTCATTTGGCATCACTTCTAAAAATACCATTAAAACTGACAGAATGAGTTCAGGCATCACCTTTTGCCCTTGTTGTATTTAAATATTTTAAACTGTTCCAGTTTTTCACAGAAACACTGTTCAAAGGAATACAAGTAAATTTTAATCCTAAACTCTATTTCAAAATCTCTCCATTATCAGAGAAAAGATTCTGGTAAAAACATCTTTTTCTAGATGAAAGAGGAAAAACTCTTTAATCTTTTAAACAGAAAATGTATCCAGGTGTTTACATCTATAAAAAGAACTTAAAAGTCTCTACATATGTGTCCTGACTCACATCAAACTGGTACACTGGTGGATTGGCAGCCATGCTAATTTTTCTTTTAGTGTAAGTGCTGCCAAAGCAAGCATGCTAATTTTTCTTTTTAGTGTCAACTTCAACTATTTCATTTTTCAAAAATATTCCTTTATTTATTTGCTTGCTTATTTATTTATTTTAAAAGTACTGTTGGGGCCTGCTTTGTGGCGAAGCTGGTTAAGCTGCTGCCTTCAGCGACGGCATCCCATGTGGGCACCAGTTTGGGTCCCAGCTGCTCTACTTCCTATCTAGCTCCTCCTAATGCTCCTGGGAAAGAAGCTGAGGATGGCCCAAGTGCTTGGTCCCCTGCACCCATGTGGAAGACATGGAGGAGGCTCCTGGCTTCTGGTTTCAGCCTGGCCCAGCCCTCGCCATTGAGGCCATTTGGGAAGTGAGCCAATGGATGGAAGATCTCTCTGTGTTTCCCTCTCTCTGTAACTCTGCCTTTCAAATAAGCAAAATAAATCTTTTTTAAAAAGTAATGTAACAGAGAGAGAGGGAGAGACAGAAATCTCCTATCTGTTGGTTCACTCCCCAGATGGTCACAAGAACCAGGGCTGCGCCAGGCTGAGGCAGGTACCAGGAACTCCATCAGGGTCTCCAACACAGCTGGCAGGGGCTCAAGTACCAGCGGCATCATCTGCTGCTTCCCAGGAGCATCAGGAGGGAGCTGGATTTGAAGCAGAGCAGCCAGAACTCAAACCAGCACAAGGATATGGAATGTGGGCAACGCAGAGGTAGCTTAACCTGCTGTGCCACAACGTCTTCCCCAACTTCAGTTACTATCCTTACAGTAAGGACTTTTAATGGAACTGAGTAGATACTTTAAAAGAAAAAAAAAAAGAGCAAACACCTGGACATGGTAGAGTAAAAGCAAAAATCAAACAAGCCAGGGTCAGCGTCAGATCAACATCTGAACAGCGTAACAACTTCACAGACCACTTCTTCATCTGCCATTGTGCATCTGTGCAATAAACTACAAGGCTAGCCCTGGTGGTCTTAACGACCAAGGACAACGCGGGCAAGACTAAAAGGCTAAGTAACTTGCCTAAGGTCCTACCAGGACCGTGAGAAAAGCTAGGAGCAGACAGAATCACCCAATTCCCAAGCCAGCGCTGCTTTGTTCTACTGCAACTCTTCTCTGGGAGGTGGGGTAAAGGATGGGGCTGCAGTGTAGCTCCCCTCCCCCCAGTACCCTATTAGTGTTCTAGAATGCCTCAGTCACCAGTAAGAGATTATCACAGGACTCACATACTCTGAGGTAGAAGAAACATGGCTAAGAACAGTTGTGCTGAGTATTACAAAACCTTGATACTGGTAACACAGGAACAAATTACTACTTGACTAATAACTGGTGAACATGAGCCACAAAATATGCATAATGTAAATCTTAACTGATTTCAAGATGTTAATGATTTTTCCTTGGGAGTAAAAACTAAGGCATACATTACATCTGTGTCATTTAATAATAATGTTTCATAATGAGGGTCATTGTGATACTAAAAATACCAAATATTTTCATTAAATGTTATGATCCAGTAGAGTTGTATTGGTTAACAATGATCTGAAAAAGGTTTTATATGAAGATTTAACATAAATGAAAAGCAAAGGGGCCACACTGACAGCATCCAATATGAGACACAGGTTCAAGTCCCAGACGCTCCACTTGCGATCCATCTCCCTGCCAATGTTGCTGGGAAAGCAGTACTTGGGCCCCTGCTACCTTTGTGGGAGACTTGGTTTTGACCTGGCCCAGTTCTGGCCACTGCAGTCATTTGGGGAGTGAACCTGAGGATGAAAGATCTACCTCTTTCTGTAACTTTGCCTTTCAAATAAATAAATAAATCTTTTTTTTTTTTAAATGAAAACCAAAAGCAACACAACTGCAAAAGGGGACCAACACTGTGGCACAGCTGCCTGTAACAGCAGCATCCCATATTAAAGGACCAGTTTGAGTCATGGCTGCTCTGCTTCTGTTCCAGCACCCTGATAATGTGCCTGGGAAGAGAGCAGAGGCTGATTCAAGTGCTGGGGCCTCTGCCATTCCTGTGGGAGACCTGAGTGGAGTTCCAGGTTCCTGTCTTTGGCCTGGGCTGGGTCAGGCTGTTGTAGTTACTTGGGGAGTAAAACAGTGAATGGAAGATCGATCTCTCTTTCTCTCTCTTTCTCTTTGGGTGTGTGTGTGTGTGTTCCATAACTGTCTTTTTTTTAAAAATATTTATTTATTTACTTGAAAGTCAGAGTTACACAGAGAGAGGAGAGGCAGAGAGAGAGAGGGAGAGAGGTCTTCCATCCACTGGTTCACTCCCCAACTGGCCACAACGGCCGGAACTGTGCTGATCTGAAGCCAGGAGCCAGGAGCTTTCTCCGGGTCTCCCACGTGGGTGCAGGGGCCCAAGGACTTGGGCCATCTTCTACTGCTTTCCCAGGCCATAGCAGAGAGCTGGATCGGAAGTGGAGCAGCCAGGATTAGAACCAGCGCCCATATGGGATGCCGGCGCTTCAGGCCAGGGCGTTAACCCACTGCGCCATAGCGCTGGCCCCCATAACTCTCTAATAAATAAACAAATATAATCTTTAAAAAAAAAAACAGCAAAAAGCACAGAAAACTTTCAAACTTATAATAATGTTCAAAATGATTTAAACACACTAGAAACTCCTGAAACATTCCAGACGTGCCCTGATTCATGCAATTCAAATTCCTGAAAAGTTATTTCAAACAATATATATAATATAATATAAAATTCAATAAGGGATCTACAATATCAGGGGTTCCTAACCTGGGTCGATGGAAAAAAGGACTTCATAGAAAAAATGGGTCTGAAGAAAAATTGGGCCCTGGATGAGCAGCAAGGCTTGGGAAGTAAGTCCCACGAGCAGAAGTTGCTCGGCTCAATTGGCAGGGGTCTTGGGAGGGTCGGCAAACCTCACCCAGATTCTCTGCTGGTGCAAAATAAGAGGGGTTGGACAAACTCATGGTCTAAATATCAAAGACCACCTAAATGGCAAACCTAAATTTCTTTATCACTCGTGTGTTCTTCACTAAGTAAAGGAAAGCTGAGCAGAGTGCTCTCTGATAAATGGATAAGCCAAAGGCTGGGATCCAAGGGCCTCCACCTGGGATCACCTCTAAAACAGCCAGCATTCATTCAAAGTAAATAATTAATGTATATCCACTGTGTGTCAGGGATTGAGTAAACAGTAGTTAGCTTAACAGAATGCAGTTATTACCCTCATGGATTGTCCTGTTTGACAGAGTAGATGTATATTAAACACGGCATTATTTCAATACAGTGGTGTTTAATTCTACAAAGGCTGGGAATTATGACAATGAAGAAAGGGTTCCAAAACACATCACAATTGGCGTAGTGAGCTAAGCTGCTTCCTGCAAAGCCGGAATCCCCTATCAGAGTGCCGGCTGGAGTCGAGGTTGCTCTGCTTCCCATCCACCTTCCCGCTAATGTGCCTGTGCAGGCAGAGAAGGATGGCCCAGGCATCTGGGCCTCTGCCATCACATGGGAAACCTGATGGGGCTCCAGGCTACTGGCTTTGACCAAGCCCATCCCCGACTATTTCAGCCATTTGGGGAATAAACCAGCAGATGGAAGATATCTCCTTTCTCTCTCTCTCACTCTCGCTCTCTATCTCTATCTCTATCTCTCTCCTTCAAGTGAATAAGTAAATCCTAAAAAGAAAATCACTGGCTGGTGCCGTGGCTCACTTGGCTAATCTTCCACCTGTGGCGCCAGCACCCCGGTTCTAGTCCCGGTCAGGGCGCCGGATTCTGTCCTGGTTGCTCCGCTTCCAGTCCAGCTCTCTGCTGTGGCCCAGGAAGGCAGTTGAGGATGGCCCAAGTGCTTGGGCCCTGCACCTGCATGGGAGACCAGGAGGAAGCACCTGGCTCCTGGCTTCGGATTGGTGCAGTGTGCAGGCTGTAGTGGCCGTTTGTGGGGTGAACCAAAGGAAGGAAGACCTTTCTCTCTGTCTCTCTCTCTTACTGTCTAACTCTGCCTGTCAAAAGAAAAAGAAAAAGAAAAAGAAAATCACAATTAGGCTGACACCTGAAGGAAAAGGATTAGTCAGGTAAGAGTACATACAATGACCCTGAGAAACAGAGAAGAAAACCAATTTTGGCTGATAAAGGGGGAGAAAATGGAGAGCTAAGGCAGAAATATACAGTACCTGAAAGGTCATTTAGGCAATTTCAAAGATTTTGATATTTATCCTTAGGACAGTAAACATAATCAAAAGGTTTAAAGGCAAGGAAAGACTTAAATTATGATTTTGAAACATCACTCTGGTTGCTATGTAAATAAGTAAAGAACTGGACACAGAATAAAGTTGAACTGGTCAGACCAACAGGAAGTAACTTGAGATGAGCATCAACTTGAGATATCCAATATCCCAACAGCCTTCCATGGTGCTACTAGCCCGCCCTCCCAAATATCATCATAAATTTACTGCACATAGTACTGAGTACCTGATGTGTGCCAAGCTTTCCCATTCAGGCACTTGGGCACAGGTGGCAGGGTCAAGATAGGGTAACTCTGTAAGGACCTACAACAGAAGTCCCTTCCACCTTATCAATCCTTCCAAATTAACATTAATTTATTTAACTTACTTGAGAGGCAGAAGCAGAGAGAGATCCTACCTACTGGTTCACTCAACAGATGCCCACAACTGCCAAGGGTAGGCCAGGCCAAATTAGGAACTGGAAACTTAATCCAGGTCTCTCATGTAGGTGCAGGGATCCAACCCCTTGAACTATCACTGCTACCTCTAAATGTATATTAGTAGTTAGTGGGAACTGGAAGTGAAGCTGGGACTTGAACCCAGGCACTCACTATGGGACATGGGTGTCCCAACTGGTAGCTTAACTAGTAGGCCAAACACTACCCCTAATGTACAAATGTATCAACTCAGTCCAACAAAGAGGACTCTAATCATAGATATCATGAGGTTCAGAAGTTTGCCTCAATTGCCCGGGGTACTTTGTTTTTGTGACTTTGAAGAACACAGGTTAAATAAGTACGATTCTGTCATTTCAATGAGCTAAGGGATTACAAAAGATAAACGCAGCATACCTCCCCATTGTCACTTCTGTGCAATTGATTCTTTAACTGCAGACTTAAAGGCTGTGCATTAAAATACTTCTTTCTGATTTTAAAACTGACCATAGTGATGGCTGCACAATGATGTAAATGTACTAAAATATTTTATTGTACATTTTAAATAAGTGAATTGTACAGTGTGTGAATCCACAGAATAGCTCAATAAAACTGTTACAAACAAAACACATCCTCATAGAAGATCATGATATCCTGGAAATGACAGCAAAAACGCAAGTGCCAAAGCTGCGGGATCCCCTGTTCCTGTCAATGGTGCATGCTGACATGTATTATTTTATATTCCATAGGTAAGCTAAAAAGAAGCTAAGATGGTGAGAACAAGTCTATAAAGTTGGATTTCCCTCATAAACCTCTCCATCTAAAAGCTTAGCCAAAGAGCAGCAGTAACAGTAATAAATATGCACTCTCCAAAGAGTTGTCCTTTTTGAACAAAACTAGTTGTACATAAAAGAGGCAAAGAAAATGCATGAGTCAATTTCTTTTTTATGTACCTCCCACAGTTTACACAGGAGTGCAACCAGAGAGAACACACTGGAATATGGTAGTTCCAGACACTTCACGGATTGTCTGACCTCATGGCCAAGCACTGCTGTGCTGCAGGTGGTCCCCTCCCACTCCCACAACATATACAGTGAAAGCGTTGTGTTGGAAACAGGAATCGAGTGTTCCTTAAAATGGCACCTACAGAAATGCTTAAAAAAAAAAAAAAAAACAAGTGATTCCACTGAACCAATATTTATAAAGATACAGACGGTAAAGGAGGCTCCTTTCTGCATAGAAAGATAATAAAGATTGATGCTATTTAGACTGGTCAAGATCTCAGCTTAAGAGCAACTGTAGGCTCTTATCAGAAGGAAGGAAAGAATCGATGTAGCAGCTTAGAATTTGCAATAAAAAGATCATGAGCACAGGTGGACCTGAGCTCCTCACTTTTAGCATGCCAGTTTCAGAACCTTTGCCATAAGACTGTTCCTAGAAACCTGAGGGGTGATTCAGAAAAAAAGATGTGTCTAAGGATAGAAAATCTCTGTAAATCATCATCAACAATCATTTTGTTTTCTGAGAAAGGAAAAGGATACCACCTATGGAAATACCGATGTGCTCATATATGATGGGAGCTCGCTAGGAAGCTCAAATTTAATCTTTGAGAGAAAGAAGAATTAAAAAAAAAAAACTATGAGTGAACATAAAAAGGCATCTAGGAAGGCTTCAGTTAACAGAGGTTCAAAATTCCAGAGACAACAAAATCAGGTGTTGTTGACTATGTTCAAAGCAAGAAGGCTGTAAGAAGGGGACAGAAAACAGGGAGAAAGGAGAGTGATGCTCACAAGTGAACCGTGACAAAGAAGCCAGCTTCCACCTGGTACATGAAGATGGATTGGGCCCTGGGGACAGCAGGGGGAGGCAGGGACTTCACCACTTTCAGTGATCCCAGTGCTCCCACTCCCATGACTCTCATGGACATGGAGTCCTCTCCTAGAATCCCTTTGGTTATCTCCAGGATCTGCGTGCCTTCTGTCTGGTTACTAGTTCTGGCTTCAGACAAAAACAAAGAAGCCTACTTCCACACAGATGAAAATCCAAAACTCTTCAAGTTTAAGTTTATTGCCTGGGTTTACCAGTGAGAGAGCCAGAGCAGTCTCAATGTAATGGAATCTGGCATATAAGAAACCCAAATGTACTGTCAACTGCATCAATAGTTAAGAGAATCTCCAAGGGACATCATGTGCTAATTTAACAAACGTTTTTGGATCTCTGAAGCTAAATCAAGCAATGGATAAGTTCTCAGGATCAGGCAGAGAAGGAGATCGACACCATGCCTGTCTTTGTTGAGGATTACTGCTATAAAAAAGGATGCTATGTGTACTTGAAAATCAGGAACACAGTTGAATACTTATTATCTCTCTGAATCACCATTAATTCCAAGGATATTTTAAAAATCTGAATAAATTGTTTTATTCATTTTAATTAAAAAATAAAGAAACATGGGGCCAGCATGTGGTGTAGCACGTTAAGCTGCCACCTGTGATGCCAGCGTCTGGGCGCCGGTTTGAATCCTGGCTGCTCCACTTCTGATCCAGCTCTCTGCCACGCCTGGGAAAGCAGTAGAAGATGGCCCAAGTGAGTGAGCCTTTGCACTCACGTGGGAGACCTGGAAGAAGCTCCGGGCTTTGGCCTGGCCCACCCCCGGCTGTTGAGGTCATCTGGGGAGTAACCAGTGGATGAAAGATCTCTCTCTCTGTAACGCCTTCAAATAAATAAATAGATCTTAAAAAGGAAAAACTGAAACAAAATACCACCATTTACTCACAACATGTTTATCCTAAGCACTGGTTTTTATAATTTGATCAAATAGTCATCATAAAACATGATTTTGTTGAATATAAAAGAAAATCCATCACCAATTGAAATTTCCACCTCCTAAGAAATTTGTCTACTACACAAAATTTGTCAAAATTGATTCTAGGGAGTACAGATGAAACTTCATAATAGAACATATTTACTACTTTATTAATTCCAGTCCAGTACATGCCCCAAGAATATCCTTCACTGAAAGTATTAACAGCCACGGCACAACTGCATACGCACGTGTTCAAGATTTGGTGCTATTCTCCCATCTACTCTTTCCATCTACTAGCTTAGCTCCCAGATTAGCTCCTACCATCTTCCATTCCCCGAAGCTTCCAAATAGTGGCAGAGCTGGGATTTAAGGGATTTAAAACCATGTTTGTCCACAAAAGCTACTGGCACACAAGGAGCTGGAGAGGCTGTTAAGAGGTACAGAACTGATCTGGCTCCAGTAACTTCGACTATGTATGGTCCGGCAGAGAATTTCTTGCAGAAATTAAAAATTTTATATATATACTCCTGAAATTTAAAAGTCCAAGTTTATTTGTTCTAAGTGTGCTATGTAGTACAAGTCAACAGCTCGCAACCTTCATTAAGGCACTCTTAGCATCACTTTTTAAAAATATATAATATTTTAATATATTAACAATGTAAGGTGCAGAATAACATGATAATTATCATTTTTAGGTAAATTAAAAATATGTATATTATGGCACAGGGACAAATATTTAAGGGAAGGAAACAAGAAACTAATGTATTTGCTTTTCTGGAAGACGAACTGTTTGAGAAGGCTGTTAATTTCCATTTTTTGTTCCATTCTACAAATTTACATTTTTAACCATGTGAATTTTTAAAAAATACCAACTGGCTTATCCAAATAGACACAGTGGGTCATTTTTCTTCTTTACATGAGAAGTAAAACCAGCCTAATGTTGTTCTCATTTAATGCTGTTTGAATGTAAGAGTCTGACAGTTCCTATTCAGAATCAACCAATAATGCAGAGCACTGCTATGTAACAAAGCTAAAATTGGGAATTTCACTATTACTGGCACTTGGTCTTCACACTGTTCAGGGAATGAGGTTGTGAGATGCAAGCACACAGACAAGGAAACCAAGGCCACGAGAGCTGCAGCGAGCTGCCCTGGGCCGTACAGCTTGATAGGAGCAAGGCCAGACTTAAGAGCTCTAGCAAGACTGCTGCAAGCAATTCTTTAACCTTGGTCATTCTCAGCCTGAGGCTCTGGGAGGGGATCTGAGGAGTGCCCAGACCACAGTAGCTTGCACACCCCCTAGATCTTCTCATCTTTGCAGCTACAATCTGGAGAAGCTGGAACCTTGCACCATGGGGCTTTCACCACATACTCTGAGGCACTGTGCAAGGTAGTGACATCACACATCTGTCCCCTCAGGTCATAGTTCCAAGGGCTTACCCTGTTGACTTATCCTGGGTCCAAACCTAGATGCCCCATATCATCAGGCCCCAGGGCCATCTTCAGCACCCACCCACTCCAAGCTTCCACTGTAGAGAAATCCTGGGGAGGTGACTGAGCTACAGCCAAGGAAAAGGCAGGCCCTTCCCACACACGCCTTCTGACAAACTCTGGAGCTACAACGCCTCTGCAACGTGCAGCCCTCACTCTAGTTTCTAGCATCATCTTTCGAACAGCACTGGCTTGGTATGCTAAATTCAGCAGGGCTATTTTCATATGCGTGACATCACCCTGGAGATGGGTGAGGCAGAAGGTTCATTAACACCTTAAATACCAAGGGTGCTCTCTTTTTTAGGCAGTGAGCTCATGGACTAATGGCCATGCGAGGTAGAGCTGCTCACTTAAGACAAGGTGCTTTTCTTCCCAGGGAGCCACAGAATAGACTATTTCCTTTCCACAGCGATTCTACAATTCTGCTCTGAGTAGTTGCTTACCCGTTTGTCAATGTCATTGTGTTGGAGCTGCACAAAGCGAGCGCTGATGGCTGCAATGTAGCTCTGCTGATTGGAGAACGCCACACGGCCAGCACCCTTGGGGTACTTCAGCTCTGGGTCTGTATCAATACCAGCATAGCAGACACCACCATACAAACGGTCCATGATCATCGCCAGCTCAACTGCAAGAAAATAAAACAGAGCCAGGTGTAAATGCCTGGGAGGTACCCTTGCCTAGGAGGAGGAAGAATTACTTGAGGATCATGCAGTATAATTAAGAAAAGGAAAACCCATGTTAAGTTTCATGAAGAATGTCCACACCAGTCTCATAACTCAATCAGGGGAGAGCCTCCTATGGTATATTTAAATGAGATGAAAATAAATTAATAGTTTACAATCATACACACACAAGAGCTGCATAATCAGAACTTTAGCAACAATATAAAGGGATGATCTATCAGTAATCTATTTGTTCTAACCTCTACCTGCTTAGCCCATTAGAATGGCTCTGAGTAGGCAAAATATTTCATGATACCCTAACATGTTAATAAAAACAGTCCTACTTACTGACTTCTAGGTCTGAAACCAATTAGTAATGTCACACTGTTAGATAAAGTTACAGAAGGAATTAATTCCTTGTTTCAACTACAGTAGTTGTTTACAACCTTACTCTCTACATTTGAAAAAAAATCTGAAGATTTTTAAAGGGTGTATTCTAGTCCACTGAGCAATCTCCATAGTACCTCTCATGTTGAATTTTAAATAATACAAATAATTAACTAACAGCAGCAATGAACATTTATTGAGCACTTACAATGTTCCAGGAAGCACTAAACTGCCACAAAAGTGGTAAAACTACACTCATCCCAGACCTTGCTATAGAGTCAAAGGTCCGATCTGTATTCTTTGCCATGTTTCTTCTAAATATGCCTTCATATTGGCATATTTACAAAACATTCAAACAGTAGTCATTTAGAAACTGGACAATTCCAAAGGCCAGATATTCTAAAATCATCCCTGTTATAAAGGTACCCAGGAGAGACGTGTAATACTTACTGCATTCCAAATGGCTGAAGGCATTTGTTTACTTGATACTGGACAGCACCTCCTTTGGGTATGACCATTTCTTTCAGGTCATTTGCATGGTATTAAGTCCAAAAGATTCAGTTCTACCTCTGGGTAGTGATCCCCAAAATCCATTTCCCTCAAATACGTCCATTGTTTGGTTTATTTGGAAGGGAGAAAGTTAGATGACCTGAACTACAGCCAGGCTACAATAACCACCATGCAGAATAATTCCACAGGAATCAGTATCCGAGTAGAAGGTAGGCGGCATGGTGGGGTGGGGAATAGCTTTGCAGCAGATACCAGGGTTGAATGGTAGAAGGACCTTGCCGGAGTTTTATAAACAGAAGAAAAGCTGAGCGGTACTGGTTCCTGTAACAGGAAACTACAGAGGTAGTGAGAAAAACTCTCATCATGTCAGCAAGGTTATCCTTCTCCTTCTTCGAAACTTGTTTCCATACCAGACTACCTAGTATTGGTGCTTGGTTTCTAAGTGCCTATTTTTAATAAGAATGACCTGCAACCCACAGGTCATTTTCAAAGGATGAGAAAATAAGCTAGTAATAACAGCCCATGCTAATAAAGATAGAGCAGCAGAAAGCCATCCCAACTATCCTATTATGGTTAGAATTCTTGAGCTGTGTCAGCCAAGGGAGCATGGCCAGTTAGAAACAAGTAGATTCTTCTGACTTCAGTGTTGGGGCAGAATCCAGAAATTTCATTCATTCAAACAAGGCGAGGACAACCGTGCCCATACTCTGAATATCAGAGTTCAGTGGTTCCTTAGACTTCATTGGAACAACCTTTGATGGCGTCTAGGGATCTCTCCAAATGGCTAGTGTTATTCCAGTTACAGAGACCAAGAAATGGAAGACAGAATTGTTACTTCTAGTCATTAATGAATCTCCCTTAGCAAAATAAGTAACCTCAAGGCTCTGCAAATTTAATACCAATTTTCCAAAGACCCAGCTTCTCCTGGGATTGCATAAGAGTGGGAAAACTCTTGAAGACTAGTGAGTGAAGAAGAAACGAATGCAAGGAACTCACAGAACTTTTCCACTTTAGGAAGGTCTCAGGAAAGTACCTGATATAAAAAGAAGCACAAAGTCACAAGCCTGAAGCTCCAGCTTAGGAGAAGAGTTACTACAACTACAGATTCTTGCACATCCTAGTGGACACCAAAGGAGTGTTAGGGATCCTGTGATGCCTGAGAAGGCACCTTCCGCAAGCACAAGCACGCAGTGACTTTACGACTCTTACCTGCTTCAGTAAAATCACCTTTGTGTGCCAAAAGACCAGATCATGATGATGTTGCTAGCAGTTAAGTATTTCTGACAGGAAGCATAAGCCCTCACCCACTTATGCTTTTATGAAAAATAATTATAAAGAAATCATTTCCACCTATGAGTTTATACAGTGTCATTTTCTTGGTCACCAAAAATCTGACAAACAACGAATCTCATCACTCAAGTGAATGGCAATTTGTTGAGAAGCCAGAAGGAGAACATGAAAATTTCCCAAATTTCTACCCTAATGTTACGTTCACCTTTGAAGGAAAGTAAACAATACCAAACAACTGATGTTTGTATTTGTTCTTTTATTCAACCACTGAGTCTTCACTCAGCATACTTCCTGCTGGCTGAACCCATACTAGACTCACACACCAAAAGGATGTCACTTAAGTACTCAACAGAATTTCTAACTATTGAATACTAAATAGGGTTTCCAATTATTGAGAAAATTAGCCACTTTTCCACTGAGCAACTACTTTTTTCAATACTTTTAATGTTGTGAAAACAGTATTAAAAAAGAAACTAATTTATCTACCAATGCATTGGTGACTAACAAACACAGAGTATGATTTCTTCTAGTTGTATAAATTTCCAATCCTGCATTTTTATTTCTTATGTAGAAAATCTGCATTCACCTACAGGCATTAGAACATACAGGTAGTTTTAGAGACTAAGTTTTAGAGGATTTTTTAACCTTTTTAACCTTGTCAGTTAATAAAGGAACATTCCATACAAATTCCCTTCCTCTGATTAAAGACAAGTGGAGATATGAAGCAAAGCCACCATTTTAACTACTTGGAGAAAGGAGAGAAAAACAGAAGAAAAGTAGTAAAGATCTTTTTAAGAGTCAACTAAAACATTCCTGAGTTCACCTGCCTTTTGTGATCTCAATCCCACTTAGGAAACCGGAGCCCTTGGTCAAAGGATGTGTCTTTTTGAAAGAGATAGTAAAACCACCCAGTATGCCTACAGCAGTCAATGAATCCACATTCCAAACCATCAACTATAGAGGGCAGGGACAGAGTAGCTCCCAGCAGCATGTTCTTCATATTTAGCCAAGTGAGAAGAGAGTAATGGTGCAAGGCATACAGGTGAAAGAGTCTGGTGTTCACACCGGAGTGTCAGCAAGCAGAGTCCCTGAGAAGCCAGGACTCCAGACTACTTTCCATTGTTTTGTTTCCATGCAGACATTCTTCATAGGGTCCATTTGGTGATCATGGAGGTGAAAAATTGGCAGGTCTGGTTGCTCTCTACCCAAGGGCACGCTGTATTTTGGACAAGATGATCTGTAGTACAAAGTCAATTCAAGTTGTCTCACGAATGACTTTCCATAGTCGCAGCAACAATACTCTGAGTCTAATTCATACAACAGATCTTGTGATCAGCTTCACTGAGCCAGACTGGAGAGGGAAACAAGAATACTGAAGCTGTGTGGAACATAAAGCTTTCCCACAAAGTCCTCAAGCTGACGCTAACTGAGCTTCTGCAGCTAAATATGAACCCCAATCATGGTTCCTTGGATCCATTCCGGATTCTCACAGAAATCTGAAAGGGACCTTGGTGCATCAGAGAGGAAAGCAGAATGAGTCCCCACTCTGTTCTACCCCAGGGTCTTGTTCCTATCATTCACTTACACTTCCAAGACAATCCTAAGGCAGTGTCTAAGCCAAATGGGGTGGTGCAGGAATGAGGACTCCCAAAAGAAGTAACACATTCATGTCTACAGACTCTTAAAAACTCTGTGAACCCAGAAGCCTCATTTCTTTTCTTTGGAAAGAAGGACAAAATAGATGCAAAAGAGCCACAGGACACCCCAGGATGACAAAGAAGTCTTGGCTTCTGGAAAAAAAGGAAGATTAAACCTGACGACAGATCTTCTAGGTTTGCTACAAATGCCAAGTTGATTCACAAGGGCAGTTCGCACACCTGAAGTAACAGGAACACGCCCTTAGGCTTCTGCTGTGAATCAGATGTTGGGAAGTTAAGAGTATTTTCAGAGTGAAAAGCTATCCATTCTGGAGAGATCCTAATGATACAGAGATATGCAACAGGGCTATTTCTGTATGGAGATTCAGGAAGATGTTGCTCAAGTTACTCAATTGAAAAGTGGCAACACATGCTGTCATACTTCCAGGTGGTAGCAGGTGTTCTGACTGTGAAGACTATGCCAACTTAAGCCACATGGTGGCATGGTAAATCTACCTACAGCCTTCCCTAGCATGGGGGTGGGTAGAGTTGAGGAGTAGAGAGAAAACAAGACCTGACAAACATCAGGACAACTACATGCAAAGCATCCTTGGCTTGTCACTGTCACGGGTGGGAGCAACGGAAGGAAGGGACCTGAGACAACAGGAATGTGTATTATTTGACCTAGAGAAAGCCACAATTGGACAATGGGTAAACACATCTAGATTTCCCAATGATATTTCCCCATTTTCAGGTTATTTTTTTCCCAACCTGAATTTTAAAAAGGAAGGCCTGTCAAAGGGCCAGAGGAGCAACCTTAACTCAGTAAGGACAATACTGCTTGAAACAGGCTGCCTTGCTTCTCTAGAGGTGTTCACGTATTTCTCTGAAGAGGCAAGGACTGTATTAGGAATAACTATTAGTGAAAACATTACCCTGCTTTACCTTGTGGAAATATCAGAGACAAAAACAAAACAAAACACAGGGGACAGGTATTTGGATAGTGGTCAAAATGCTGCTTGGCACATCTGCAACCCACATCATCGTGCCTGAGTTTAAATCCCAGCCCCACTCCTGACTCTACCTTGCTGCTAACATGTACCCTGGGAGGCAGTGGCTGACAGTTCAGGTAGCATCACCGTGTAGGAGACCTGGATTAAGTTCCTGGCTCCAGACTTCTATCTGGCCCAGCCAGAAATGTTGCAGGCATTTGGAGAATGAACCAGCTGATGAGAATTCTCTGTCTCTTTGCCTTGCAAATTAATAAGCTAAGTAAATAAAAAAATTTTTTTAAATGACAAGATTCAAAGGAATGACTGAGGACAATTTTTAGCCCAGAATAAGATTAAAAAAATCCATCTAGGCACCTAAAACCTCTCCTGTTGAATAATGTCATTTGTATCTAGTTCAGAATCGCTGTACATGGTGTTTGAAATATTTTTAAGACTTTTCAGAATTAATAACCACAATATTTCTTGGAAATATTAAAAAATGCCCTGAAGTACTTTGAAATTACATTTGAGAAGTATATTAACGGATATAATTTAGCCTCCAATTAATTCTCAATTATTCTATTAACACATTTTTGTTTGATTCTATTCTGACATCTCTGACTTTCCGTATATGACGACCTATTTAACGCTGTAGTGGGACGCTCAGTCATTTTGGCATGACATGCACTTACTGTGCCAGTTAACACAGCAGGTGCTCAATAAATGCTTATTGTTCAAGTTAACTGCACTGTATTTAAGATTATCTAGCAAAGTCAAAATGAATTCCTTTAAAAGTAGTCTTCCATTCCAAGACAAACACCAGGTCACACAGCTGTGTTACAAAAAGACACAATTCTATGCACATGGATTAAAGCTGCAGATGTTAACTATTTTTGTCTAGGTTACTTGGTTTCTAATCTGGAAGACATGGGATAGATAGAAAACTACTAAGACATTACATAGATTATTTAGTCACCTAGAACTCTGATAATTTAAGGAAAGAGTTATTACAGAAGGAACATTTCCATTAGACCCAGTGATTGTAACTTACTACCCACATTACTACAAAAGCAAAACAATTTTATAACAAAACAATTTAGCTTCATTAAAACAAGCAAAATTCATGACTTATGAAAGGTATACTTTCTAGGCAAGAAGTACAAAATCCCATTTCTAACAAGATAACTAAATCTGATTCTTGTTTAATCTTGGAATTTGCAGCATCTTGTATACATAGAATGCCAAAAGATACCATTCCATGTCTTTAGATTCCCTTTCTGCATTGGGATCGTACAGCAAGTGTGCAAAACAGATCTTCATAGCACTTAGGAAAATTAAGCAAAGGCTTTTACCTACCCTTCCAAATCATTAAAGTGGTAAGAACAAAGGATGAATAATACAAAATGGAATTTAGTTAATAAACTGGTATGCCTGTGACTTAAAAACGGATGGAAGAAGTTAAAGCCAGTTCTGTTATTTTATAACTGTGGTATTTTTTTTCTTTCCATCTTTGGAAAAAGGAGAGGATCTAGAACATCAAAAACTAATCTGTACTTTAGTTAATTACAAAAAAGAAACAGCAAGAATACTAGCAATGAATGTCCACCTGTAGAACACTTAAGTAGTTAAAAGAATATCAAAGGGGACAGCATTATGGCATAGCAGGTTCAGCTGCCACCTGCAGTGCTGACATCCCGTATCCGGGCCACTTTGAGTTTTTGGCTGCTCTCCTTCCAATTCACCTCCTTGCTAATAAGCTTGAGAAAGCAGCAAAGGATGATCCAAGTGCTTGGGTCCCCACTACTCATGTCGGAGACCCAGATGAAACTCCTGGCTCCTAGATCCTGGCTTCAGCCTGGCCCAGCCCCAATCATTGCAGCTATTTGGGGAGTGGACCAGTGGATCAAAAATCTGTCTTTCCCTCTCTCTCTCTGACTTTCAAATAAATAAATCTTTAAAAACAAGAGAAGGATATCCAAGAGGATTTTTCTCCCTCTAACTCCTAACCACCACACCAACAAGATAAAGTCAGGAAAATCCCACCACACTGCCACTCACAATTTTTTTTTTTTTTTTTAAAGCACAAGCAGTTTAGAAACAAAGGGCTGCATCTGTCCTCATCTCATAATGTTGTTCACGTTTGAGAAAGCCTTTCCTAGATTTTGTTCTTTGATAGCAGATAAAGGGGAGGCACCTCTACAGCTTCATTTTTTTTTGGGGGGGGGCACAGTTTTCTGTTAGAATGAAAAGAAGACCCAATGATATTTGACTTTCTGAAATAGTATAAATTACAAATTCTATAAGCATAACTAATATGCTTAAATGTTCTCCAAAATGGAGGTATGCATATATCTTTATATAGGTCAAAATTTATCTTGAAGTATTGATTAGAGTTGGGATTTGGATAAATGTTAGAAATACTGAGGAACTTTCAGAATTAAGAAGTCATTAAAGTCAGCTAGCCAAACAGTCATAGGCTACAGTTTATAACTGCTTCTACAACTTGATTGTTTTTAACATTTATTTTTTTATTTATTTGAAAGACAGAGTTATACAGAGAGGAAGAGACAGAGACAGAGGTCTTCCATCTGTTGGTTCACTCCCCAAATGGCTGCAACAGCCAGAGTTGGGTTGATGTGAAGCCAGGAGCTTCTTCCAGGTCTTCCGCTTGAGTGCAGGGGCCCAAGTATTTGGACCATCTTCTGCTGCTTTCCCAGGCACATTAACAGGGAGCTGGATGGGAAGTGGGGCAGCTGGGACTCTGCTTTTTGTGTTTTTGTTTGTTTGTTTTTAGAACTAAGTCTACTTGCTTAGAAATACACAGAAGTAGCAGACTTTCACAAAGATGCTGGCGATGATAACTTCATTTTTTCATCTTTTTAAAAAAGCTCAATTATTCTAAGTGCTTTAAATAAAATAAATAATTTTATTTTATTCCACTACAAAAACATTGATTCCTAGAATGCCACTGGTCAGCTGATTAGATTTGCCTTTGGATTTAAATGCTGAAGTCATCAGTTCAGTACCACTTCAAGTGCTCCAGTCAGTTATGATTTTGCTCCATCCCACCAACACCATTATTTCATTATTGGAAAGAAGTGTAAAAAAAAAAACAGGGATGCTTTTAAAAATATTCATAATTAAAATGTCCAAGTAAATAATTTCTCAAAGTCTGTAAGAAAAAATAGGAACTCAACTTACTTGGAAAGAGTTAAGTTTGATTCTTGTGGTACAGTTTCCAGCAGTGATTTGGCTCATCATTAACTGGGCACACAGTATTACTAGACAGACTTCTGATGGGTCACATTTTTTTGGTCATACATAATAATGCTAACTGGCATAAGAATGTGCACTTCCAAATATTATTTTCAAATATGTGGTTAGACAGGAAAGCACTAAGTAGAGATCATTTTTTCAACACAACCATTTGATGAAATCCATTCTTGCACCACAAGAAAATAGAGAATTTGGGAGAAAATACTTAATCTTGCAAAAGTGAGCTCAGTGAATGAAAATGACATGATAGCCTTGCAGATTCTGTCAAGTAACTTGAAACCTAGAAAATATTTAAGACCAAATGTATTGGGGATTTTTGTTTTTGTTGTTGTGGTGTTACTATTTCCACTCACCAGCTCGAAGGGGTCGTGGAACTCCCCCAACAAAGATAGTTTTTCTGGGGTCCAAAGGCTGAGAACCATCCATTACAAAGTCACTGTCACTTAGGTTCCATGGTCGAATTTGCACCTGAAAAAAAGTCGTTTACTTGGTCCTTACTTCATTTCCATCAACCCCAAATGAGAACAAGATGACTAAAGATAAAAGATCTGTACATTTTACAACATACACAACCCAAACAAAATCCAGTTAATTCTACTCAACACTCTAGACATACCATGAAACCTTTAGAAACCACCTATGGTTTTCTTAAAGAAAAATAAAAAGGAGTCTTTTAGAGATAGATTCTGGCATTCGAATCAACTTTAACACATGACAGATTGTTTATAACCTGTTGCAGCACACCATTTAGCTTTTTAAGAGTCCAGCTAAAGGAATGGAACAGGAACATCAGGAATATTTTCAAAGTATTATATATGAGAGCACATCAAAATTTTGTGGAAAAATGGAATCAAAAGATAAGTAAGTTTATTTTAGTGCAAACATTTTTAAAATCAATGCATAGTTTTTTCATAATATGTATTTCCCATGAACTTTTTGAAGACCTTCTATACATGTCTGGCTTTTAAATTCTCATCACCCACCAAAATTAAAACACTCATCTTTCAGCAATATGATTTAATACAAATTAACACTCATCATGTTAGCACAGGATTACTGGAGACATCACAAACTGAAAGTTATCTGTTTTTGATGTATCTCATTTTCCCAAGTGAGGCTGATTAAAGGCAAGTCTAGAAATTGAAGTAAATTTTTAAACAGTAAAAAAAGAACCCTTCACAGCGTATTTCTTTCTATTTGGTAATTTCTTTTCACAAGCACTCTTGACTTCCTGTCCATAGTTTGTACTGTTTCATCATGTGGTTAAAAAAAAAAAAGTATTTCACCAAAATCTTAACATTACAACATCCTGCTTTAAATAACAACTGAATTATCAAATAATAGCTTAAAATAAAACACAAGTTCCCATATCAAAAGGTACGTTTCACACTGCCTGAAAATCAGCCAGTCAGGCAGGCTGGCATCCATGGGCTCTCTGCAAGAGGGCTGTGTACAGAGGGATAACCTGGTCTCTGTCCTTAAGGGACAGTTCTCTCCCTTCTCCCTCACTGATCCAGACGGGAAACAAAACAATTGCATTTTCATTTTCTTAATATCAACAGAATTCTTCATTTTCCCGACTGCTCAAACATCAGCACTTGACAAACACAAGAGACTTCTTCTTAGGTGGCTGGCTCATACCCAGGAGCCCTCCCTCTTGAAAGGTATCATCTCCACCTTGCTTGGTTTGAAACAGTCTACACATTTGTTAGGACTGTTAGAAAATTCACCCATAACTTAACACTGCCTTTTATTATACTGTTGTGCTCAACAGCTAGCAAGGAGCCACAAAATCTCTTACAGACTTTGAAATTTTAGATGTTTGTAATTCTGTTGACATTCAGGCATGAAAATTCTTTCCTTGCAATATTTTGTCTGTCTGACTAAATTACCATTCCTTGACATTTATCACAAAGGCAGATTCACTAATACCATAAAGCGCCACTTTAAATCCCTTCACAAGGGCCTACCACTAACCTTCAATTAAAAATACAATAATTTCGACTGGTGCCGTGGCTCAACAGGCTAATCCTCCACCTTGCGGCGCCGGCACACCGGGTTCTAGTCCCAGTCAGGGCGCTGGATTCTGTCCCGGCTGCCCCTCTTCCAGGCCAGCTCTCTGCTGTGGCCCGGGAAAGCAGTGGAGGATGACCCAAGTGCTTGGGCCCTGCACCCCATGGGAGACCAGGATCAGCACCTGGCTCCTGCCTTCGGGTCAGCACGGTGCGCTGGCTGCACCTTTCTCTTTCTCTCTGTCTCTGTCTCTCTCTCTCACTGTCCACTCTGCCTGTCCCCCCCCCCAAAAAAAAAAAAAAAAACAAAAAACCACAATAATTTCTTGATACTATAAGAATAAGGAATTTAATGTCACCATTTTCTTTTAGAGGGTGTATCTTTTCCTAAAGAGAACCATCTCTTCTTCTAGTCTCATTCCTAATAAAGTATTTAGTGCAGGGGCCAGCATTGTGATGTAGTGGGTAAAGTCGCAGCCTGCAGTGCCAAGCATCCCATATGGGCGCCAGTTCGAGTCCTGGCTGCTCCACTTCTGATCCAGCTCTCTGCTAAGGCCTGGGAAAGCAGCAGAAGATGGTCCAAGTCCTTGGGCCCCTGCACCTGTGTGGGAGACCAGGAAAAAGGCTCCTGGCTTTGGATCAGCACAGCTCCAGCCATTGGGGCCATCTGGGGAGTGAACCACTGGCTGGAAGACCTCTCTCTCTCTCTCTCTCTTTCTCTCTGCCTCTCTGTAACTCTGCCTTTCAAATAAATAAATAAATCTTAAAATAAAATAGAGTTAATGCAGTTTTAGGACCTGCCTAAGAAATGCCAATCATTTAATGTTTACTGAGTTTGGGTTTGGTCATAGATCGATCACTTTGTTCCAAAAATGAAAACAATTCCTTTGTCGTATCTATAGTGGTTTGGTTTTATTTAACCAGAAGTATAGAAAATGCAACCTTCTATAATAGTTATGTTACCATTGCTCGAAAGAATTCTGTAGAAGACCCCCTTGCTGAGAGCTTTCATGATTGCCCTTTCTCTCCCCACCAATACTCTCAACTGGTACTTCATGGCATAACACACAACCTAGTCCTTTACTCTATTCTTGGCATTACAGGTTAGGTAAAAATGCAGGAAGAGGACTTCATAGCCAGTACTGACTAACTTCATTCACAAGACCTACATTTCTCAGCTCATACCAGAGAACAGCTGCTCAGAGCTGGCACCTCTACAACATCATCAAACTTCACCCACCACGGAAAGTAATTTTGTAGAACTGTTTGTCCTGACAATTTCCACTCACACTCTTGGTTCTCTCTGAGATACAAGGTCATTCACACAGGACATATTCCTCCATCTCGGGTTCATGCTCAGACCCCAGGGCCTCATTTCCACATTCTATTTTTCCAGACTTACTCTCTGTATACCTTCTCTGCTCCTAGTCTCATTTTTTCATGTATACATTTCTCTAATGTCATACTTTATAGGCCAACTTAAATAATTTGTGGAAAGAGGTAGAGTATAAATTAAAGAATTGCTTTTTAATTATCATTATTTCTTTAATAATTATTTTTAGAATGGATGAAATTAGAACTCTGTCCTAATAAATATAAATGTCCCCCAGCTCTAGAACTTTTACATCTATAGGGATAACTCCGTGTGTCCATGAAATAGCTCTCATATGTTGTCAAAAAGACTGCACTCTGGGCAGTAAAAGCCTCAGCATTCTGAGGACAAGTGCACAGATATCATCCGGAAGTAGTGATAATTCCTTAAATTAGCCCAACATAATGCCAGCACTTCTTCTTGCAGCAATGTGACCATTCTTGCTTGTAAAGGTGACTCTAGGAGGAGGAGGTGCTATAGCATCATTTTGCGGGCATCAGCCCTTTGCCCACGTCATGTCCTTACAGCACAGATCATACAAACTCAAATGCCTATAGTGCTGAAGGGGTAGTATCAGCTTGTGAAGCCACCAGTTTAACTGTTAGCAGGCAGGCAGTGACACACTGGAATAAACTACTCCTTCTATAGGAATAGGGATTTCTGAACTTCAGCAAAATCTTGCCATTTGTGAATATGTGTTTAGACTTTCCCGTTTTTAAGAGTCGCTAGAAATTCAAACTTTTACATAAAAAAGATTCTAAAATATTGGGAATAAATTCTACCTCTCCTTTGGCTCAAAGGGTTTAATTATCACAGAGCCCCCAGTGGAATATTAGTTCTACAATATCTTATGAGAGGAAAATATAAAACTACTTCTTCCTCAGTTTCTTTTAAAAGTTTGTATTCCTAACAGAAGCACTTGTGAGGACTACGAAATTTACTTCTGGCTGAATTATTTGTCTTTTACTTAACTTCTTAATCAGTAATCTGCTTTGTACTCATTTAATTGCTTATCTCCAAAAGCAAAATTCTTTTAGTAAAAGTCAAAAAGAAAGCAGGCTTCAAGAAATTTCAAAGAATGTAACATTAGTACGTTAGTAACCAATAGTTACTAACATTGTTCCGTGGAATGAAAGTCTCTAGGGTTAGTGTGCCAGACGAGCAGCATTTGTGGAGACAAATTATCTTTTCCTTAGAGTTTCAAGCACCATTGGTGTACTAATTAAAGACTAAGAAATTCTATAGGCAAGAAATCTGTTAATGTTGTTTAATCCAGCATTTCTAAAACCATTTCCATGGAATCCATTTTCTGAATATCTATCAATATCCACACAATGGTTACCACTGTCCTACTGTATCTTACCCTTAAGATATATCAAAGTATGGCATAATAAAGAAATGACTAATTGAACAAAATGTTGCAGAAACTTTTTTCAACCTATGCTTTTCCTTCACTTATTTCCTGCTATTGCTCTGAAAGGACTGCTCCTATAGAAATTAAATAGTTAAGAGTAAAGTTAACTTAGTAAATTAGTAAATTTAAATATTAGGTAGCTTTTCAAAGAATTCAAAGTTTTCTGACTAAAGTGCACAAAACAATGCTACCATGCCAGTCTACTTTATTTCCAGTAATGAGCAAAATATCTAACTATAATTCTACAAAAATATAAAATTTCATTCTACTTAAAACTAAACATCATTAACAGGATATGTTTAGGCCAAGTGGTAGGAGAAAAAAATTCAGAAACACAATACGAGGGGTGGGGTTGTAGCACAGCAGGCTAGGCAGCCACCTGGGACATTCACATCCTGTATGAGAGTACCAACAGAGTCTCGAACCTCTGCTTCAGACCAGAGTGGTTCATCCTGAGAAGCAGATGGTGGCACTTTGACCTCTGCCATCCACTCGGGAGACTGGATGGAGTTCTGGGCTCCTGGTTTCGGTGTGACCCAGCCTTGGCTGTTGTGGGCACTTGGGGAGCGAGCCAGTAGATGGAAGATCTCCCTCCTTCTGTCTGACCCCTGTTGCTCTGCCTTTCAAGTAATAAATAAATATGTTAAAAAATGTGATATGAGTCTCTTCT